ATAGATTTTAGGTACACAATGAGAACCTTGTTATTTGCAGTGTGTTTCTTATCTGTATTTTAAGAGCTATTGTAGTATACCCATGTCATACTATCTATATTAATTTTTGTTTATTGATAGTGAAGTGAAGTATTATATGACTAACTCCCATACTATTCAGTAATTGTGAAATATAAATAAGAATTTAAAAGGAACTTTTATAAAAGTTTTATAAAGAAAACGTGAAACAAATGGGAGAAAGGAAATGAATGTGCTATATTGTATCAACTTAGGTGGTTGATATATTTTGCTTCAAATTGGGCTCTGAGCTTCCTGCCAACATTAAACGGTAGTTATATGCAGTTATTTAGTTTGTATTGTCAGAAGGGGTTGAATACTTCTTTCTAGTGACATAAAACCTGTTTTCTAGGATTTTGCTCCCAAAATAATTTTTCACGTGGGGCCTCATTTAAGGCTCACAGAACAATAAATGAGGAGTGTCCTCCACTTTGCCCCAGTAAATGCAGTGTGAGTTTCAGAATCCTGCCTCTTAGAGCAACTGTAAATGAAAGCTAAACGCATAAAAGCCAGAAGACAACAATGAAATGCAGAACAACCTAGACGACCTGGAGCAAAGCTCCTCACAACAATAAATGCAGAACAACCTAGACAACCTGGAGCAAAGGTCCTCAAGGTGTGGTCGGCAGCTCCTCCTGAGAGGCCACAAACTGCTCCCAAACACAGTCAGTTTTAATTTCCTGTTATAGGCAATTGGCATGGAATTTTTTGAGTTTAAATATGTGTGTGATTAAATGGCACTGTAGAGATTATTCAGGATTACTCCAATTCGGAATTGTAAATCAAAGTTAAAATATGTACAACTGGGCCAGGTGCGGTGGCTCAATCTTGTAATCCCAATTTGGGAAGCAACGGTGGGCAGATCACTTGAGGCCAGGAGTTCGAGTCCAGCCTGGCCAACATGGTAAAATCCCATCTCTACTAAAAATACAAAAAGTTAGCTGGGCGTGGTGGTGCATGCCTGTAGTCCCAGCTACTTGGGAGGTTGAGGCAGGAGAATCACTTGAACCCGGGAGGAGGAGGTTGCAGCGAGCCAAGATGGTGCCCAGTGCACTCCAGCCTGGGTGACAGAGCAAGACTCCGTCTCAAAAAAAAAAAAAAAAAAAAAAGTACAACTGCCTCTGTTGAGGTTCTAACTCAGTGTTCTTTGAGTCACTTGCCCTTAGTGCACCTGTTAGTGTGGTCCTGAATTCATCAGGATTCTATTTACTGCTCTTCTAGCTTTTCAGTAGTGAATTTCTGTGACTTCAGCCTCATTATCACCCTTTAGACTGTTAAGCGTGGTTGGGTTGACCAGATACGGCCATGCACTGGCACATAAGGGCATCCACAGTCTCTTAACTTGTGAACCTGTTTTCAAGACAAATGTGCAATTATGTGCTGCATTTCAAATAAGAATTATCCACACTAAGTTTGCAAAGTATCCTATTTATAGTCTTCCTCTCTCCACATCAAATTGGCTTGGACATGAACCCTTCCCTGGTTTCATGCCACCTGTGAATTTGTGACATTTAAAACAACTTACAACACATTTACAAGGTAACTGGAGGGAAATCACTGAATTATTTTTTAAATGCTTTAGGGAATTTTTTATGATGTGAAATCATGCATCTCAGTTAATAGTGAAAGATATGACTTGGTTATTCTCTGATTCTTTATCAATCACAAATTTCTCTTTCCATGGGAATGTGGGAATGGGTGTAGTAGGGGAGCGCTGGGGTCCTGGCTCCACCACGTGGCTGCTGGAAGGAGACTCAGAGCCACAGACCTCAGGATGTAACTGCACTGCATGTGGGTCACACGACCTGGACGCTTTGGGGAGTCTTTCCTGAGAGTTGCCTGGTCAGAGTCTGAAGGACAGGAATCTAAGATTTTTCGTAAAAACAGGCAACAACAAAAACCCTTTCTGTCTATTTGAGGTGTGCAATTGGTTCTTGTTTGCCTATGGAAATATCCATCCAGAGAGGAGGCACTTGCTCCCGTTTCTGCAGTGGCACGTCCTTGTCGCCTCTGCCATCAAACTCTATCCCAGATCCCCTAACTTCTCACAGCCCCTCGGGTCCCATGCCAATCCCAGTCACCCCCTTCCCTTGCCTGGAGGACTGCAGTTATCCCCTCTGGTCTTTCGGTCTCTGCTCCCCTTCCCAGCCAACTCCCCATCTGTCCTCCTGCGACCGCTGTTGGATCACACCGTTCTCTGCTCGCTCGGAGCCTTCAGTGGCTCCCCTTAGCTCAGGAAAAGCTGCTGACTGCAGCCTGCCCTAGGAGGCCTTACTAGGGCCCTCGTCCCCCGTTTATGTCCACACCCTCCTCTCCTGGACCCTGCCTCTCCTCCAGCACCTGAGACCCCACCCGCTCCATCCCTATCCCCTGCTTTGTTGTCTCCATAGCACCCCCACCATAGGACAGGCTGTGTGCTTGTTTTACTATCTGCTCATTGTCTCCCCACCGGAATGTCAGCCTTAAGAGGGCAGGAGGTTTGTCATGCATTCACAGCAGTGTCCCTGGCACCTGGCAGTCCCAGACACTCAATAGATGTTGATTGAACTAATGAATGCATTCATCCATCTGTGCACTCCAGCTTTCTCTTCCAGAAGTCAGAGCTGATTAGGTTAAAGGAACTCTTGACATCATCAGCCAAATCAATGCTTTTTCCAGTTGTTGGGTTGCAATATGGGCCTGATTGCTCTTCATGGAAACAAAGCCCTGTTAGATGTATTCCGTGCACCCCTTAACTATCCTCAAAGCCCAGTCTATGTTGACCTGTCAACATGTGCTGAGCGAATGAAAAGCAAGATGGGCAGACAAATGGGTGAATCATCCCTGCCAGGATGGCCCAGGATTCTGACCTGTGATGTGCAAAAGGGAATGTTTTTAAGCTGTTGCCTCACAGAGGCCCCTGATGTGCCCGCAGCAATGGGTGCAGGAGCCCTTTGGGTCCTCTGTGTGCATTGGTCAGGGACTTAGGTCAGTGCAGACTGACTCCCTTGTGAGTTTGCTCTCAGGTCCAGCACCCATCCTGATTAGGGAGTCTCCTCTCAGCAAACAAATCAACACACAGCAGCTCCCTCATTACTCACAGGTTCTGTATTTGCAAATTCGCCTGCTTGCTAAAATGTATTTGTAACCCCAAAATCAACACTGTCATTGCTTTTGCCCTTTTGTGGACACGAGCAAAAACAGGCAAAGAGAAGTGAAAACTGTGAGTGTCCTGACCTGAGGTCCAACAGTTGCCGTTCTGCCTCCCTGTTCCAGCTCACACTGTAAACAAGGCTCCTTTGCCCAGGGTATCTGGTGCCATGTCATTCATGTTTTTGTGGGTTTTGTTTTGTTGTTTTGAGGTGGAGTTTCGCTTTTGTTGCCCAGGCTGGAGTGCAATAGCATGATCTTGGCTCACCTCAACCTCCACCTCCAGGATTCAAGCTATTCTCCTGCCTGAGCCTCCCTAGTAGCTGGGATTACAGGCACCCGCCACCATGCCTGGCTAATTTTGCATTTTTAGTAGAGACGGGGTTTCTCCATGTTCGTCAGGCTGGTCTCAATCTCCCAACATCATGTGATCCACCCCGCCTCAGCCTCCCAAAGTGCTCAGATTACAGGCATGAGCCACCGTGCCCAACCACGTTTTTGTGTTTTTATTGGGGATTTCACTGTTTAAAGTGGCCCCCAAAGTTTCAGTGCACCCATCACCCAAGCAGCACCCATCACCCAAGTAGCACCCATCACCCAAGCAGTATACACTGGACCCAATCTGTAGCCTTTTATCCCTCCACCCATTCCCCCACCCTTTCCCCCTGAGTCCCCAAAGTCCATTGCATCATTCTTATACCTTTGCATCCTCATGGCTTAGCTCCACTTAGCAGTGAGAACATATAATGTTTGGTTTTCCATTCCTGAGTTACTTCACTTAGAATCATGGTCTCCAATCCCATCCAGGGTGCTGAGAATGCCATTAATTCATTCCTTTTTATGGCTAAGTAGTATTCCATCATATATATAGACATATATGTATGTATACATATATATATCACAGTTTATTCACTCGTTGATTGATGGTAAAGAACTTACTCATGTAACCAAATACCATCTGTTCCCCCAAACCTATGGAAATAATATATATAGACATATATATATGTATACATATATGTATACATTTATATTTATATATCACAGTTTATTCGCTCATTGATTGATGGTAAAGAACTTACTCATGTAATCCAATACCATCTGTTCCCCCAAACCTATGGAAATAAAAAAAAATAGAACATAAAAAAATATGTACTATGTAATAGGTATTTTACCACAATAAAAACTTGTAGAAAAAAAATTTTAAAAAGCTTCCCTACAAATCCAAAAGGATTGGATTTGGAGAGCATTCAGGTACTGAACACGTGGCAGCTCCTGGTGAGTGGCGTGCCCAGAGAAGGCACGGAAGCGCCACACACCTTCCTACATGCTTTTCCCTCTGCATCTCTCCCTCTGTATCCTTTGTAATATCCTTTATAATAAACCAGGAAATGTAAAAAATAAATAAAGTGGCCCCCAAGGGAGGGAGGAGCAGGGAGCTGTTGTTGAGTGGGGCAGAGTTTCTGATGATAAAGTTCTGCAGGTGACGATGGATCGTGTATGTTAAGCACAACTTCAATGTGAATGTACTTCATGGTAAATTTTTGTTACATATATTTTACCAAAACTTTTATTTGAAAACAGCCCCCAAGCACGGTGCTGACATGCTGTCTAGTGTGCTCTGCCCTACGGAAAAAATCCACGTGGTAGAGGAGCGTCATCCTGGCGTGAGTTTCAGTGTTCATGAATCAGCACTGGATGTGAAATAAAGTGTCTTTAAACAGAAACACACATAAAATAAAGTTTCGTTTTGATCAGTGAATGAAAATGTTGTGTCCAGAGACTCCCGGAGGCCTTAGGGAAAATAAAATCTTATATTTTCCCTAAGGTCAGTGGTTCAGTATTTGTGAATTCAGTGTTTGCAGTGAGTTTGCAGAACAGAACTACCTTGAACAATGAACATCAGCTGTAGTTTGTTTGTTTGTTTGTTTTACGGTAGTGATGTTTAAACTTCACTGTACTTAAGAAGTGCTTTATTTAAAAGTAAGATTCTACCCTCAGAGAGTATTTCTGGACAGAGACCTGGAATTTTCCATTTCTAAACAAACACTGCAGATGAGCTCAGCCTTCCAGGTCCAGGGAGTACCCCCAGGGAAACATGGATTTAATAAGGAGGAGCATCTCCCTTAAAAGACTTCACTGATGGAAGTCAAGGCTGAACTGAGTGTCTTCTAGGGCACCACACATGCCTTCAAAAAATCAGCTGAGAATGTATTCCCTGTTGTGAGCAGTCTCTCAGGATTGTCCCAGAAGTCCACACCAGATGAGGTGGATACCTTTTCTGGTGTGACCTTATCTGCTGTGGACCTCGGGGGCAAACTTGAGAGATGGGGAGGAGGGATGGAGCACTCACCCCCAGTGACTGTTCATGTCAAGGTGAAACCCTTGCTGCAACTCGGTGGCGAAGTCACAACTGGTTGAAGGCATGAGATTTAAACTCATGGTTCTCATAATCAAAATGCCAGGAAGCAACTCCCTCCCCACTTGGTTACTGCAGAGCAGAAGGTCTCAGTTTGCAACAGCCTCCCGGAGGGATTCTTAGTTGGGAGAATCCGGGCTGGGGGCCTGAGGAAAGCTAGAGGGGCAGTTTCAGTAGATAATCCAGGAAGAAGGTTCTAAGTCTTTTTGTGTGTGTTTATAACTCCCCACTGAAAATACCAGTGAATGAATGAATGAAGTTTAAAATACGAAGTATAAAACCTAATTAATTTATTTAAAATTAATAGCACCTACTAAGCAACAAATTGTTTTACTCAACAATAGTACTCATGGAAGTTTAAGAAATACTGAGCAAAATGCTTATAACTAAGATTACTTGCACTCTATGTTCTATCTCCATTCCTATTTCCAAACAAGCAGGACAAATGTGTGCACAAACAGTACAGCTGGAAAAAGAAGTTATCAGTGACAGTTTTGGCAATGCCAACCCTAGTTTTTTTTGTTTGTAATCGTGCATGTTGTGCTTGTTTCTCCAGGCATAAAACACGGAGGCACCCTAAGATCCCACTCCAGTGATACAGACTTCCTCTGTTAGTAACTTGGCAAGAGGTCCTCATGATGTATTGCCCTAATCTGGTTCTGTTGCTCTGAAAAGCACAATCATTCTTTACACATACACACACACACACGGAACTGTTGAAATCACCTTGCAAAGACAAGAACAGGGCTCCAAAGGAGGACAACCTCCTTTCAAAGTGCCTTGTCCTCAGCTTCTGCATAAGCCATTCCCTCCTCCAGCGTGGTCTTATGCAACCTCAAAGGATGTCGGTGTCCTCAACAGGGGGCAGCTTTCACAATGGGGACCCATTACTGGTGTAGGATTTGCACTTCTCTGCACTTGGCATGCGCTCAGGAGAGAAAACAGTGGATGAAATATTGTGCAAGACCTTATAAGAGGTACTCTCCTCTCTCTGACCCCACAGAAGAATCTGAGCATTGTGGAAGGAATGGAAACCTTCAGTGAAATGTTGGCTGGCAGGGGAGGTGACTGAAAGGTCATAGTTTGCTATAAGGAAGTCCCCGTCCTCCTGCGGTTCAGGTCCAGGTCAAAACTCTCTGGCCAATATGCATACTCAGCTGACTGAGATGGAGTCTTAGGTTTCCTGGGATGTTAATGCCAGTTCTCCTGGGATGGCACACTCAATTCCTTTCAGATGCTAAGCGTTCTCTTGGTGGGTAAGTGCTCATTTTAGCTCCTGCAAGGCTTAGAACTAAAGAACAGGGTGAGGGACTTAATCAATCCCATCATCTTAATACTTTTGCATTAACTTTAGGGACCAGGTCTGCATATCTTGGGTGATGAATCTGATAAATTTAGAGACTGATGGAAGAAACCTGTCATTCTTTCAGCTGGGTAATTTATTTTGAATCATGAGTGTGATTTTTAGTTGGAAGGTCCAAAAATTTTTCGAGTGTTAACAGAACTTGAGATGCATCACGTCCCAGAGTCGAATTCTTTAATCCACTGGAGTGGCTGGAGGTTCTTGGACAGGTACTGCTTCCAGCCGGGGCACTTGAAATGCTTAACAGGAAAACAGGGAAAATTTATGAATGTAGCATAAAGTGTCAATGGAAACCTAAGTTTGCACATAAGACTGATTGTTTAAGGAAATTCAGTTGACTCAATTTCAATGAAGGGGAACATAAACCAAAGACTTCTTGAATGTTTAACTAACAACATGTATAATAGAGTAAAAATGTTCTATAAGTTAATCTTTAAAACTTAGGAGAAGTCAGAGTTCCTAAGTGTGTGATTTTAAGACATTGCATATGTATTTGCAGAATAGAAACAGCTGCAAGTAGTCTTTATCAATCACAAAGCCTTCATGGACGACATCAAAAAGTCACACAGACAGGAATTCCAGGCCAAGTGCAAAGCTTCATTCTGTTGGCTGCTGGAAAGAGAACCAGGACCCAGGGCTGAATGCTAAATGGAGACAGATTCAGCTCTGTGCCAGCTCTGTGCCACCAACCTTCTACCAGAAGGGCTGGTGACGGACAAAGAGTCAGGCCAGGGCTGGTGCAGCCCTGTGATGAAGGCATTATCTAGATGAGGGCTTGAGTTCTTTCCCTGGTCCCAGCTGTGTACAGAAATACCTGGGAGCTTGAAAACAAGGATTTCCAGGCCCTTTCTTCAGAGATTTAGATCCACTGGGTCTAAGCATCAGTCTTCCTCTCCAGCACAATTTCCACAACAGCCCAGTGCTCAGGGAGCCCCTGCATTGGAGGCCTTGAGGTTCCTTCCTAGCCAGGGACTCCTAGATGCCAGAGCCTGGCCATTTTGCAAGGCTGAGTCCTGGCCCTTCATCAATCTCTGATGAGTCATGAAGTAAAGAAAGTTTTAAATAGAGTTTAGTGGAATAAGACACCAATACCTATTCCCATTTGAAAGGTCTGCTGGCATTTAATCAGTAGAAACATTTCACACAGAAAATGTGGCACAAAGAAAGAAAATGGGGCTTCCTGACACTTCTGACTTTTCCTCCATACACAAAGTGGCTGTGCCCATTGGACCCGACCAGCCGCCCAGCTAAGAACAGCCTGACGTGCTCTTATTCATGCTTTCAACTTGCAAAGGCTCACCGGTTGGGGGCTCCTCGATGTCCGTTGGAAAGTTTTAGGTGTGTTCATGGCCCCACTTAAGGAATTCATTGCCAACTTTTATCCTTGGAACTGGGAAGTTGGAATTCCCGATTTCCAAGAGGTCTTCAGAAATTCTGGTTATTCTTGGTTTCTGTTCCTCTTTCATGAAAAAAGTGGATGTTAACCTCGGGTGGAACTGCGCCCCAAATACTCCCCACATGAGCCCGGGCTGCGTGGGGGTGCAGCTGTCAAGCAGAAGAGGCGGCCAATGACTGTTAGGGGACCGGGGCAATCTCAGGCCGGGCAGACCCGCGTCCACCCTGAAGCCCCGGCCACGTCAGGCAGACCTCAGCTCGCCGCCTGACCTTGGGCGGCCTTCACCCTGGCACCCGAGGCTACCAGGTGATCCCCAGGAGGCAGCGTCCCTGAGTCCCGCATGAGTCGCCTCGAAGGCTGGTACCCTCACCAGCGCCTGCTCCACCCATCCGCCTCCATTCATTCCTTCTGGATCCCGGGCTGCCCGGTGAACGTGGCTGCCCTGGGGTAGCTGCTGTGGGGCCCGCGGGCAAGGTTCTCGGCGGGTCTGCGGTCAGTCCTCAGCTTCTCCCAGGACTTGATTTACTTCCCTGACCATTACCTACTGGGTGTCCAAGGCTGGCCCAGTCCTCCTTCCCTCTTCATTCATTCATTCATTCATTCGTTCATTCATTTGTTCCTCTTCCTCTTCCTCCGCGCCTGAACTGGGCCTCCCTCTCCAGGCAGGGGTGCAGCCGCCTCACAAACCTTCCAGCATCCCCTGGGACCCGCGGGCCCTTCTTCCGTGTGATTCTGCGATTTTGTGCCTGACCCAGCCCTGCCGGGAGTGGGCGCAGCCAAGGCCATGGCCACGGACCGCCCTGCCCTACCTGGCGCGCCCTGCGCTCCTCCAGCCGCTCTGCCCGGGGCCACCGCCCTCCTCCCGGACCCTGCGTCCCTCCCGGGCTCAGGCCCGGCCTCTGGGGCTTCTGCGGGGCTCGGCTCTGCCTACCCTCCCCAGAGACCGCTGGAGCCAAGCCCGCTCCTGCACTCTCGCCACCCGCTCCCCTCTCCTCCAGCAACACAAGACAGCGAGGCCAGGGCTGGGGACCCCCGGGCTCCCTCTTCGCCGCCCCTGGGAGCTCCGCGGCCTGGGCGCTCCTGGAGGCCGCCCCTCAGGGCTCCCTGCCTGGCCGCGCAAACCGCCCGGAGGTGGACACCTGGGGACGTCCTGGGGGCTCGCAGCAGAGCTTGAGAACGTCTTGCGGCTCACACCAGAATTTCCAAAACGCACCTGGTTTTGGCTTTCCCTCCTTCCGGCCTCACTCCCTGCTCGCCTGTCCGAGTCCCTGGGTCCCTGTGCCAGGAGCTCCCTCCTGCCCCCTGCAGGCCCCCTTCTCCTCCGTCAGCCCGCGCAGGGGCGACTCCCGGACTCCATTCTGATGTCCAAGCAAAGGCTGCTGCAGCCCAGCCTGGCTCCCGGGTTTCCGGGTTCATCACCGTCCGCCCGTGCGCCCCGTCGGCCCCAGCCGAGCGCTGCGCCCTGGGCACCGGAGGGTCTCACCGCCCACGGGCCTCCCTCTGCCTGCGCTCTACCCCTGGACCCACAGCGTGCGTCTCGGTCCAACGCAGCCTGCTCACCACCACGCCCCGCATCACGGCTTCGCTTCCCACCAAAGCCTCTGCCTCCTCTAGCCCCAGAGCCTCCCCGCCACGGTGGTGGTTCCCAGAGCCATCTGCGACCCAGGAGCAGTCCCTGGCTGCCTTCTCGGCGGTTAGGTGCTTGCGTGGTTTGGAAGGACAGGTAGGAAAGCAGTTTGGGTGCAGACTGTTTGACTGAAAGACCTAGTGCCCCATTCACAGAAATTTACTTTCTGAATGATTGCTACATTCCTAAAAGTTATAGAAGGGCTACCAGAATTACACTCATTGGTTTGCTTCTGCTAAAACGTGGTTGATTGGGGAAGGTTTTTTTTTGTTGTTTTTGTTTTTTGTTTTTGCTCTGTCGCGCAGGCTGAAGTGCAGTGGCCGGATCTCAGCTCACTGCAAGCTCCGCCTCCCGGGTTTACGCCATTCTCCTGCCTCAGCCTCCCGAGTAGCTGGGACTACAGGCGCCCGCCACCTTGCCCGGCTAGTTTTTTGTATTTTTTAGTAGAGATGGGGTTTCACCGTGTTAGCCAGGATGGTCTCGATCTCCTGGCCTCGTGATCCGCCCGTCTCGGCCTCCCAGAGTGCTGGGATTACAGGCTTGAGCCACCGTGCCCGGCCGAAGTTCATTTTTTTAATGTAATTGTGTGTTATGTTCTATCACCTGTTAAATTAGCGTAGTCGTTGGCATTGTGGTTTCTTTACAATCACTAATGCCCTGTAAAATGAATTAGTGGCACAAGCATGATTCCTTACAGGTGACAGCAATCTTGGGATGCCTATATGAACTCACCATAACATGCAAAATAATATCCCGAGTGGAAATAGTGAATGACTCTGACATAAATATGAATAAGATTCTGCACACGGGATAGTTTTGGACAAGCAACTAAAAGCAGGCGTGTTTTAATAGAAAATATAAATTTTTTTGAAACCGTATTTTCTTGATGACCCATTCATTCCTAGTCCTTGATGAGACTTTTCCATCATTAAATCCTTAATGTAACTGGCATCCAAACACGGTGGGCTTTCAGACAAAGCAAATTAATATTTCCAGAACAAACAAGAAGTGATGTTCACCAATGGAAATGACTGGTTTTACATGAAAAGAAAAGCAACCAGGAGAACCTAAAAGGCACCATTCAATAGCAGAGGCCTCATCTTCAACTGCAGAAGGAGGTACCTGCTCCGGGACTGTGGAGAAGTTGATAAAAGCAGACTCCGGGTTGACAGCAGATACCGTGTTCAGAGAAGATGCAAAATGAGCAACTGGAAGAAACCTTTGTCACCTGCCGCTGTTGTGTTTCACGCACACAAACACAAGCACAAACACAAACATATGGAAAAGCAGGTATGATCATCGGACGTACACTAGCAGGTATTTGATGAAGTCACAAATGTGCAGAGAACAAACCAGCCACAAGAGGCAGAGTGCATTACCACATCTGTTCCTTTGCAACTGCACACCCACGTCTCAGAAGCAGAAGGGTTTGAATGAGCCATGAGCTCGGATAGAGCCTAGAAAAATGTGTTAGATCAGAACCAGCTCATGTGAACAGACAGAGGATTTGCCAGGAAGTCAGCAACTGCAGCTGCATTTCACCGCATGGAGCAGGGCTCACTGTACCATGAAGTAATGCCACCAAGGCCATCTCGCCATCCCTCTCCATGACACAACAGGCACCATACTCACAGGGTGCTTCTCCACATGGTGGGCCGGCAGTGGGAAAGGCAGTCCTACGACTCTATTCACAGGAAGATTTAAAAATTGTTCTCATAACACAGATCATACCAGAAAGGACAATTTCTATGATTTCAAGTGATTTATCTCAGTAATTCATTCAGTATCTTGAATGGCTTAAGCTTACTAAGGATAAAACAACAAAAATGTTCCCTTTGGGGGTCAATGAATGCATCAGAGATTTTTCAATAAGGCCAACCATCGGGCCTGAGATGATTTCCTCACTCACCAGCATTGAGGACTTATGATTGGGTGTACTTTGAAACTACGTCCACATGCTGTCATGCACTTTAGATGTGCTTTGCAAAGTCAGATGAGGAATCAACTTGATGCTATCTTCTACATCAAACCATCCAACCTCAAGAATTGGCTGAGCACATGAAGGGCCTCACAGGCCTCTAAGAGAGCCTCGTGGCACCAGCTGGCCCCTACCAGTACTCAACTAGTGAGATGGGACTTTCTTCTTTAGTAGGAAAAAGAGAAAGGGGGAAAGGCCATTGTGAAAACTGGCTTGGATTATGCACCAGCTGTTATTAAGCAGAATGTGGATTCTTGGGGAAATATTGCAGATGTTATCATTCCTCTTAGTATGAATCTATTTTTCTGAATTCCTGTTATAGATCTACATCTATACATATAGCTTTAATTTTGTAGAGATGGGATTTCACCGTGTTGCCCAGGTTGGTCTTGAACTCTTGGCCTGAAGCAATCCTTCCACCTCAGCCTCCCAAAGTGCTGGGATTACAGGCATGAGCCACTGTGCCCAGCCTGTGTTTTTTTAAATGTATACGTTATTATTCTCACTTTCGGAATACATCCAGGACATCCCTGACCCAAGGCTTTTGTTCACTTGCTTTTTCAATCTAGTCTACCCCACTATCCCATTTCTACCTGTTATTATCACAACAATCTGCAAGAACCAACTCAAATCTAACTTCCTGCATGATGAAGCTTTCCCCTTCCTGAACCCCCAAAGTAATCTATTCAGAGGACCTACAATAGCCCACCTTGTATTGTAACTACTGAGGGATAACTAGATAGTAAAGTTTTATCAGGACCGGAAATACACCTTGTTAACCTTTGGCCCTTTCCCAGTTAATGCCTGGGATAGATGCCGATTTGTAAAATATCCACAGATGGGTAACTGGGAATGTTAAGGAAGGCCCCAGGTATCTTTTTCAAGTGGGCAGAACAATTTGGGGAACATTCAGAGTAACAGCTGGTAACTGATGGAATCGAGTAAATTCCAAGTCAATACATATGAAGCAGTTTAATTGTTTTTCTCTATATTGTGATGGATCATCAATGCAAATTTGTCCAAAACCTGAATAACTCTTTAAAGAATTTGATCACTGATATGGTATTTGCGTAGCAAGCCCCTGTTTCAATGTGTGATCGTGTTAATTATCTATACTAGGGTAGCGATATAGGCAGAAAGTTGTCTTATGTGTAAGCAGAAAGTTTTCTTTCAGTAGTCTATTTTCTCTTATTTGATTCTACAAGACTGTTCCCCTTCTTTCTCTTCCTACACACGCAGGCAGAGGCTATACTCTCAAGCACAGTAAGACTGTCTGATCTAAACTCCAGTGGCTCATGAGGATAAACAACGTAGATACTACTTCTGGGTTTTGCTTTTAAGTTACATAGTGAGATGCCTGGATGCACTACAGAAAATTAAATGTCACCAAATATTTCTAATCATATTTCAATCTAAAAATAATCTTGATTCTTTAAAAAACATTTCAGTTATTGAAAAGTAAATTATTGAAAGTAAATAAATTATGTGGTTGAAAAATCTTGAATCTGCATCTTAAGGGCAGTCTTTATGAAAAGAGCTGGACCATTCACGCCCCGTGTTAAGCTTAGAGAAGCCTGAGCGCTGCCTTCCCCGCCAGCCACTTCCCAGACTGGCCAGCAGAGGGCACCCAGCTGCCAGCGCTGCTCCTCGATCTCCTGCAAAACGGTGGATCCCACTCTGAATTTATTTTGAGAACACATCATATTCATAGGAAAGAGCATATAACTAAAGTTAGTTTACCTTTATATGGTTTTACCGTGTGTGAGGGGTACAATATACTACTCAGCTATTGACAATAAGACACCGTTGAAAGAATTCCTGGGGAACAAGAGGCTTAGCTTTTCCCTGATTTCTGTTCTACAAATGTGTTCCACAGACCCTGAGAATCCCAACCCACTTTCTGGGGGCTTCGAAGGTCAAAAATCTTTGCATAAAAATGCCAAGACGTTATTTGCCGCTTTTGCTGTGATGATACTTGCACGGATGATGTAAAAGCACGTGGGGGCTGAAGCCTTGGCGCCTCGCGGAGTCCAGGGGGCGGCTCCACGGGGCGAGCTGTCAACGCCTGGCCCAGCAGCCTGTTCTGTAGGAGACATGGAACAGCACGGTTTCACACAGGAGTGTCCTTGGGGGAGCAGGAAAATGATCAAGTTTGTTAAACGTTGATGCTCGTGTATCTCTCTTCAAGATTCCGTGTGATTAAAAGGGAAGTACCCACAAAGTAAGTGGGCTGCTTATTGAAGCCTTAGGGAAGCAGGAAAATGATGGATTTTGTTCAACTTTGATGCTCATGTGTCTCTCTTCAAGATTCCGTGTGATTAAAAGGGAAGTACCCACAAAGTAAGTGGGCTGCTTATTGAGTTGCAGAGATTGGGAGAACACTTGTGCAACTTTGGAAGTGCAAGTTGAACCAGTCACTTTTTTTTTTCATAAAACACCATTTTTACTTGAAGAACAACTGACAAACTGCAGCCATCCAGAAAAATCCCCGCCCACTGGCCACCGCCAGCTTGACTGGCTCAGAAGCGACCCGCTTCAAGGGCCCTGGGTCCCTGGCTCTCACAACCTCCCCACTTCCTCTGAGCTCCCTGGCACCAAGATGGTGTGAAGTTGTTTCCTTGGCAGTAGAACTTAGAAGAAGAAACTGAATTGGGTTAGGCGGGGAATGGAATACATGGAGTGCGTTTTTCTCAAAATTGCAAAATGCTGAACCAGGAGACCCACATGTGTCAGGAACAGAAGAGAACATATTTCCTAGTGGAGGGATAATGACTCCCAAGGGGTGGATGCCCCACCTGCGCCCTCCCCATTAACATTTGCCTGGCCGTCTTAGACATTTCAGTTGTGATCCCCAATACCAACAACCCCCAAAAGAGGGCCGGATGATACCGCAGAAACAGAAAAAGGTGGATTTAA